AAAAAAAAAAAAAAAAAAAAAAAAAAAAAGCTGAATACAACACAGCTGTAGCAAGAAATGCATGAATACAAAAACCATCCTCACCAGCCTGGTCAACATAGTGAAGTCCCATTCTCTATAAACACTACAAAAAATAGCCAGGCATGGCGGCACGCACCTGTAGTCCCAGCTACTCAGGAGGCTGAGGCAGGAGAATTGCTGGAACCCAGGAGGTGAAGGTTGCAGTGAGCTGAGATTGCACCACTGCATTCCAGCATGGGCAACAGAGTGAAACTCCATCTCAAAACAAAACAAAAATTAGCCAAGCATGATGGCACGTGCCTATAATCCCAGCTACTTTGGAGGCTGAGGCAGGACAATCGCTTGAACCCTGAAGGTGGAGGACACAGTGAGCCAAGATCATGCCACTGCACTCCAGCCTGGGCAACAAAGCAAGACTCTGTCTCCAAAAAAAGGAAAAAAAATGGCTGGGTATGGTGGCTCACACCTGTAATCCCAGCACTTTGGGAGGCTGAGGCAGGCGGATCACCTGAGGTCAGGAGTTTGAACCAGCCTGGCCAACATGGCGAAACCCTGTCTCTACTAAAAATACAACAATGAGCTGGGCATGGTGGTGAGAGCTTGTAATCCAAGGTCCTCAGGAGGCTGAGGCTGGAGAATTGCTTGAGTCAGGGAGGTGGAAGTTGCAGTGAGCTAAGATTTTGCCATTGCATTCCATCCTGGGTGACAGAGCAAGACTCCATCTCAAAAAAAAAAAAAAAATCTTCTTCAAAATACATTCATAAGTACACCACAAGATGCAGGGAGTTCTGGCATTTAATAAAAACAGGTGAAAATATATACATATCTGGTGTGGTATCCTTTTCTCACAAAATACATTTACCACACCAATTTTCCAATACCAATGGGGTGTTGAACAATTCAGTTTCCTTCTGACACTAACTCCTGGCATTAGCACAGACCCCAGAGGTTAAGGCTTCAGTACCCCAAGGCTAACCGCATTTCAAATACCAGCCACAAATGGGGTGCCCAGGCAACTGACACTTCTCTGGCAAACTACAAATTCAGAGGTTCCCCCAACTCCTCCTTAGGTTTGATAATGCAGGCCAGGTGCGGTGGCTCACGCCTGTAATCCCAGCACTTTGGGAGGCCGAGGCGGG